GTATATGTTTATGAAAATAAAAAAACATCTAAAGTTTTGAATCAAGGTAGACAACTCGTGTCGGCCATTTTGATACCAGGATAAACACAGTAAGTAAATTCATCATTTCTTGAAGTATAAGTCTGAAGTGGCCTAGGAGTATAGTGCCATAATTAAACTTTATATACATCTTACTGGAAATAGTTTTATACGTATATAAAAACGAACAAATTCATATTCGTCTTAGGAATGTCTCCCGTTTTATATATCTTTCCTTATATTGGAAAAACTACGTATATTTTATCTCTTATGTACATTCTGATTTGATACAGACATGGTTCTGCGAGTTGGCCTTAATCTCTTTGAACAAACTGGGAGAGGGATGTTTTAAAAATAACACACACACACACAAAAAGGCCAAAACATTTCACTAAAACTTTTGTTTATAATTTATGAACTGGATAGAATTATTTCGGAACAATTATATTTAATAAATATAAACAAAATACATTATATTTATTAAACTAATTGGATGTAAGATTAAAATGAAAAAAAAATATAAACAAAAATATTATATTCATTAAACTAATTGGATGTATGATTTAAACGAGAAAAAAAGAGGTTCACCCAATTAATTGCATTGCAGCTTCGGTGATTGATAAAACAAGCTCCCTTTTATAAAACAAAAAGTCAAATAGATATTTTAGTGATATGCACTTTCTCCAGGAAGCTTGCTCAGATTGTTTTTGAAGATAATTTAATTCTATATTCATATAAGCATGTCTTTTGCATTATATAATTAAAGACTTTAACAAATCTCTTATTGGATACATTAGTTTAAAATAAGAAAGGTAATACACTTAAAGAAATTATCAAAAATTTTGATGTGCCGGGAGACAATCCGCTTATATTAGCTTCATTATATCGTCGGGAATTTTATTCCATTTGTGTGCGAAGTTTATTGGGTATTATATTTATATCTAACAAAAATGCTGCTGATGATGATGAAGACAAATATATATAATAATGGAGATGATGATTAAAATGATAAAAGAGTAAAATTTTAATTCAGTTCAAAAAGTATCAATTAGACTTAATTGAGGGTTTTAGACATTACAAGACTCCAGTGAGGGTTTTGACATGACGGGACTAGAAATAAATTTTCCTTAAAATTGTTTCATTTGATTTAGGTCTAGACCATCCACTTGTGTGCAAAAGTCTTATATCATTCGCTCTCTCTCTGTTTTTTTTTCAGAATAGTTATCCTTGTTGTGAACAATGACCCACGAAAATACGATTTTTTAATATATTTCTTGGTATATTTTTTAAATATATATGTATATATTTTAAAGCAGTGGATGTCGATTTAACCACGATGATAATTTGTCCAGAACAGAAATGTCAGATTGACATTATAAGAAGAAAGCTATTATGCGAATAAAACATCGCTTAAGGCTAAATATGTCGTATGCTATCAAGAGCAAATCAAAGAAATGTTCGTCCGGCTAATCGAAAAAATGTTTTCTTTTGACGAAAGCATACTGACATAAAGTTAATCCAATCAGAAAAGATCGGTCCCAGTTATCAGACACAATGTGAATTATTCATAAGAAATCCCTGTAATATCAACATCGGGAAAAAACATACAGGTTGTTCAGTGTTTTATATGACTGAGACATTTCAATGAAATGCAATAATGGCATCCTTACGGTACGGAAAAAATGTTAGTTATATCTTTTAAGATAAGTTATAAGTGTAAAAAGTTTAAATCATAAGTTAGAAAAGGAGTTAATAATTTATTGCAAATATAATGAATGTTTAGTTAAAAAAAACATTATTTTTCAATTATGTTTCTTCATGTAAACACACATGCTATCAGTGCGGCGTTCGTGGCCATGTGGTAAGATCGTTGACACCCCTCATCGTTTTGGGTTTGAGACCCGCCAGGAACCTGGGATTCTAACTTTTGAAGTAGCTATAAAGCTTGCTTATGGAACGTAAGTGTTGTTTTAAGTAACCGTCCGTGCCTGAAATAATGAAAGGAAGGGCACACGTGTCGCAAGATCGCGACTTATTTATAAAATCCTTAGAATTATATTACGCATCCGAGTTCCTGAGGCCTTCTTACACCCATAAAGCCATACGACCTTTATAGTGTTTGTGAAACGTTGACTCTACCAAAACGATATACATAAAATAAAAATAGTTTATGTATCTTAAAGCTGATCGTCATCTATTTCTGTGCTATGGTCTTTAACATGGACATGAAAGAGAGTTTTACAACAATTTTTTATTTTTGACCGTTTTGTTATGAAATGATTTATAACAACTTATGTATTTTACATGCAAAAATAAAAAGAGAATGAATGACTAATAAGAGAACGATAAATGAATTACCAAACTGGTTTAAATGGTAAAGTGTACTTTATAAATCATTATTTTACATACTATTTAAAAAGCAATTTGAAGAATACGTCGTATGAACTCGTATACCAATCAGTGTTGCATACAAGAACAATGTTTTTTTATATTTCAATAATTTATTGTTATCTTTATAATACTTTACTTTAACCAGTAGTGTAACTTCAAACGGTTATCGGTTTTCTGATATATTAAAAAATGTTTTTCGTTGCATAATCAATAAAACAGTATCTCTTGGGATAAATGTTATCGAGTTTATCTAGCAGTACTGATGTATGTGACAGTTTGAACTATTAAATGCAAGGCTTTCCGACATCATTTCACAGTAAATTGTAAAATTAATGTAATGTTCAACGTTCCCCAAAAATGCTATGCGAACAATGAGGAAGGTTTCGATTAAAAACGTATGTGAAAACTTACGTAATCTCAATGAAATCGATTGCCCTATTTAAAATACTTATATATAATTGTAATATCATGCGGTTAATGTTAGATTTATCACACACACACACACGCACGCACGCACGCATACACACACAATCTATAGAGACGCCCTTTGTACAATGTTTGCCTTCGAAAATTTTGAATATTATGTTTTATATAACCTTCACGATTGACAGTTTATCTCATACATACATCGTTTCCATTTTCAGGGTATAAACTTATCTATAACTCATTATTCTTACTTGTTTATTCTGATTATTTATAAATTCAAGTGGTTACTGTCAAATGCAATACGAAAGCATTACGTTTAAAGAATAGCAGTTTTTTACAAGAAGATTTTCTTCTAATAAATACGTTTCCTTAATCCTGTGCATCAAATCATTACGAATTTCATGAATAATTGATCTATATTTTAGGTCACCAAGTGTGAAGGAATAGTGCGTGTATGTTCTGTCTATGTTTATCAAGATACATAGGCAGACTTTACTGTTCAATGTTTATGTTGTTTCATTTGCGACATTTACGATTTATGTGATTTTATCTAAGACGTAAATAATAGGAACTGAAACGAATTTGTGTCAATTTCTCAAAGTTAGGTTCATTGACTTTTAAGTAAGTTTTAAGTGGAGGTATTGTACATGCATAGTGTTTTATAGAAAATTTAACCGTTGCTTGCGGTTCGTAACGTGCCGGTGTCGCGTAATTATCACACGCGTGGTAATATTACCACGCGTGTGATTATTACGCGGCGGCGTAATAATCACACGGTTAGGGGTAGTGCCGTTAGAATCACACGTACGGTCTTAAATTTACTCCAAAATAGTTAAATCATACACCATTTTATTTCAAAATGAATTCCGCATCTAATAGTATAATTTTTGTGGGAATTAATTAATTTTCTAACACAAGGGAGTGTTTTAAAAAGCATGTATTGCAGCGATTTTTAAATAATTATGACAACCTTCGTTATGAATAATATTTGATTTATCCGCTAGAGGATTAAATCTTTTATTCAAATCTTACAACTTAACATTTTTATTATAACACCCCAGTAGGGCCTCAAAAAGAGTTGTCAGGGGAGACAACTTACACTGGATTATGTCATATATAAGGCAGAAAAAATTCTGGGAACGGTCTTTCATTCGTGGACACCATAGAAGAGGTAGACTAGTTTATCGTTAAAAAATCTAAATTAAAAAATCAAATATTGAATGAATCAGTATTATTTAATCTCACAGGAAATTAGATATATTTTATATTCTGTTATTATTTGTTCTATTATTTGGGGTTTTAAACTTGAACAGATAAGAACTTTGACCAGATCTTATGACCACGTGGTGATGACCCATGTTTTTCTCGTTAAGGTCAGTAGTCTAAAAAATCAATTTGGATGCTTTGATTACACAAAATATATGTCAAAGTTAATAGGTTTCTTTGAAATATTAAGTAAATAAATAAAAAATGGGATCTAGATCACAGGGACCCCAGCACAGTGTTGGGATAGTGTAAAAAAGTAATTTCTAAAAAAAATATATACCTTATATATAATATATAGACAAGGGGTTGAACTCGCCAAATCGGCCGATTGTCACTAGTCCAGTACAAGTCAAAATTACAAAGTCATTTTTACGTAAATCATATAAAGCTATATATCAAATTGCAGGTAAATGACATCACTAGACGTTGACAATAACATTATTGTCCCCACTTAAACCGTTTTTGAACAACAAACCGATATTTCAGATGGAAAATCGTATTTTTGCTAGGTCGGACACGACCGTGTAACCAGTCCCGACTCAATTTTCTACGTGTAAAAACGCAATTCCAAACAACGACAGTGTATCATCCCGCAATAAATCGATAAAACACATTCAAAGAAACAACTTACCGCTAAATATTGATTTTCAAAATGTTTTATAACAGCTGAAAACAACTAATTTCTTGTACGTAAAAATGAAAGTTGTAATCCGAGGGTAATCCGCATCCAGTGGTTATCACATGACCGATTTGCAACGGATAATTTCATTGGTTGATTTCTGGTTCCCTGTCCTGCAAGGTAGGTTTCTACGAAGCTGCAATAGAAAAATGGTATAAGTATCAGATAAATGTAAATGTAAACAAATGTACAGTGCTGGTTTACGAAAACGTAAATGAAAATGACTTTAAACCAAAAACAAAGGGATGCTTTAAGCATTGCAAGTGCTGGACACAACCTTCTTTTATTAGGATCGGCTGGGACGGGTAAAAGCCATCTTATTACTGAAATTTGTAAGGAATTGAATGAAAAAGGTAAACAAGTGAAACTGACACGCAGCACGGGCATAGCATGTGCAGTGTACCCCACCCATTTAAAACCAATGACAATACACAAATTCACTGGGATAGATGATGGAAGGCATGATCCGAATGAAATTGTGTCAGTATTGAAAAACAATGCCAAGTGTGACAAGATTATAGATGCAATTATGACAACAGATGTATTAATAGTAGATGAATGTTCTATGATAAGTAAACGTACATTCGAGTCCATAAAAAAGGTCTGTGAAATTAAAAATCCATGTAAAATATTTGGAGGTATTCAAATTATATTCAGTGGTGACTTTTTTCAGCTCCCACCTGTACCGAACAAAAGGTACAATGACGATGGCACATATTGTTTCTTAAGTGAGTTCTTTCAAACTTGTTTCTCTCATACAGTAACATTAACTCAAAATGTGCGACAGGATGAGGAACTTTTTGTTAAAGTTATATCTGATATATATCAAGGCAATTTAACTGAATGTGTCATAGAATTTATGAACAGTGTCAATAAATCTTTACCGGGTAATTGTGACAGCCTTAAATTATTTTCAACCAATTTATTAGTGGATACGTACAATCATCAGTGTTTACTGAATCCTCCTGGAGACCTGTTTGAATTCAAAGCAACAGACAATGGGAATGCAGCAGAACTGAAATCTTTGACAGTGCCTAAAACATTATGGTTGAAGCTTGAATGCCCAGTGATTTTGCTGCGAAATTTAAGTGACACACTTGTGAATGGGTTGAGAGGAATATTGAAGTATGCTACTGAGACAAAACTGGCAGTGTACTTTCCCAGTTTACAAAAGACACAAACATTGCATAAAGAGTCATTCACAGGTAAAACTAATATGTCATGTCAGAGCCTTTTCTGTTTTAATATTTAAATCAGTAATAACATTATGTTTAAAACACATACATGCTAGTCTAAAGTAATTAGTAATTGTCTGAATTGGTTTGTGCACATACATGTTTTTTTCAAAAAAGTAAAAAATGTTGTTATTTTTATTTTCATTGAACAGTGTTTGATCCAAGGACAAATTCAGATATTGCAAGCAGAATGCAGTTTCCTGTAAAACCAGCATTTGCATTAACAATTCATAAAGCACAGGGGATGACATTGCCTTGGTAAATATACATGTAGTTCATAAAAGTATTTTCCTAAATGTATTTTACCTCCAAACAGTGCTGTCTGTATACATTAGTAACTGTTACTATCTTATATAATTGAACTTAATATTTAAATTTTTATTAGTAATAAAGAACAATAATAAGTCATTTGAAATAGACAATGGAAATATTGCATCTTCCTCATGTAAAGTAAAATAGTGAAATTAATATAACTAAGAGCATGGTTTTCTATTTATTACATACAAAATACATATTTTTCAGGCTTGAAGTGGACTGCAATGATATATTTAAGACAGGTCAGCTAGGGGTTGCGATTTCTAGGGTTAAGTCTTCAAAGGGGTTGCGTGTAATCAATTTTCACCCGAGGTACATATTTAGCCCACCTGCTGCTATCAAAACAGATTTCGGATATGAAAAGCAATGGAATGATTGAAGACTTTAGCTGTTGTAGAATGATAAGGTGATAATTTTTTCAAGTTAATAAGAATCACAACCAATCCAAGCAATGAAAGAATTGTTTCTTCCTAATGTTACGATACATATTTAGCTTGATTATTTAATGGAAAGTACTTTTGTCTTACTCACCTTCGTGTCATCACTGGCAAAACACTTGCTCAACCACTGGAGTTGTGCCTATTTAACTTCCAGCAATACCATTTTTTCTAGATGACATTTGTTGTCCAAAATCTAATATTCTTGCATGGATTATTACTGAATAATTCATTTGAGAACTTCTTGATTTAACTTTTTGTTACTGTTCACTTTTAAAATGTAGTAATGTAATTCTGGATCTTCACACTTATTGATTCCAGTATGTTAAATGTTGAGTACACTAATTAATTTCTATGTTGCTTTTATTTAACTGTCCAGCACCGAGAAAAGTGCAGCCTGCTGTCCCAAGACGGGTTTTAGTTTAAATTTGTTTTCATTGCTCTCGAAGGATCTCCTCTTTTCCAGAGAGTATGGGGGTGTCATAAGGCCTTGTTAAAATTTCTTTGTGGACCTATTAATCAATCAATTATTTCTTGTCTTTAATTTCCTTGTCGTTTACTATATTTTTTTTTTAAGTATCATTTTTGTGATTATCCTGTCTGTGCTCTGCCTTGCACCCTGTCCTGTTTTGTTTGGGGTCCTCCAGGGCTCCTTGTTGCTGGGTTGTTTGGGGGGTGAACTAATTGAACGCCGCCTTTCCATGTTGATCTTGTTTAATTACCATATTTCAGCAGGATCAGTATCCAAAATGTTAGTGTCACTTTTACATTATCTCTCATAAACATACTCAAATCAAACTGTCTGCTTTTTATTATTATAGTTTTGTTGTTTTCATTGCTTCCGTGGGATCATCTCTTTTCCAGATTTTTATGAAACTTCACAAATTGTCCTAGATTTCATATTTATATTTAATTACAGTCGGATGACCTTTACATCACTTGAAGTACAGCTTATTGATGGCCTTTTTCGTAAAGGCTAGTTTAAATTTAAATGGCATGGTTCATATTTGACTCTTGCATTAGTGGCAGCATTTGATTTTTTTGAGACCATGTTTTGGCCTACAAGAATACTATTTATTGCTCGCTGATACTGTAGTGCACTAGGATTTGAATTTGCTCCATGATAAGTGGATCTCTGCTGGTTGAAAACATTCTCGATGACATCAGAGTTGACCAGTCCTGGAGTGTTATACATTATAGATGATTTATTTAGCACTGCTCTGCAAAGTGCAATAAAACCCAAAATACATGACTGTACATCTTCTGCGCATTGTTGAGATAAGAGTTTTTCCTTTTATTTTTTTCTGAAATTTCCTTGCTATTCATAACTAAATTGCCCCACTTGGAAAACCATTCAGCAACAGCATGTAAAGTTCCAAGTCTGTTATCATCTAACACTTTAACAGGTCTCATATCACGAAAAATATCAATTAATTTTGATGTATTTTCAAGCAGTTCTATAACTCCATTTAATACTTCACCTTTTTGACCGAGATTCTTTTGATACAATTTCATGGAATGCAACATTTCAGAATTTACACATCTTCTGCTAAATGATTTCGCATTTTCAATTGTGAATCAAGATGAAAATGTTCTCTAGATAATTTTTTATGAGTTTGTAGAGCATTTTGCTGGTCCCAGTTGAAAAAGTCAATAAACATTTGCCACTGGATAGTGTAAGAACTTGGTAAAGTTAAATTCTTGTACTTTTTGGATGAATTCCACTTTTAAGAATGTTGTTTCTCAGTTTTTTTACCACATGTGAAAAGTCCATTAAAATATTATGTCATTTGATGTGCAAGGACTTCTTGCTATATAACTATGTGACTTATCTCCCAAGCACATGTGCATTAATGAACGGTAAGCTTGAGCCCCATCCATACAGGTATAAAGAACTGTAAATCCTGCTGATCTTAATAAGTAGACTGCTTTCCAGAAAATACTAAATAGCTCAGATGCCTGTACACAGTTGGTTATAAAATATGCGAATGGAAAACGAAAACCATTAGTTCCAAGGAAAAGTAATTGGAGTGCATATTTGCCTAATTTCTTTTCTTTAGACCCTTGTTTTAAAGCATGGCAGGTGTCTCCCTCCTTCCCATAATCAGTAAAACCAGATATTTCAACAACATCACCATATTTATCAATCTGAATATCAGTTTGAATGGCCATTTCATCAAATATGACACCCCCATATCTCTCACCCTCTGGTATATTTTGCCTGTTTGCCTCAGCATACATCCATTGGAAAACATCATCTTCAAATCCTGGTTTTTGCTTTATAGCATTTTTATATAATATTAGCAGTGATTGTGATGGTAGTACTAATAACTTGCTTGAATATAAGAGGCCATAGCAATGAGGACTTCTGTTATACTTTTGCATGCATACACCAATAAATTTCTTTGACCATCTGCGACCTATGGGGTGTCTGCCAACATTTTTGGCTTGTTCAACAAGTAATTCTATCATATTTTCATCTGCTCCAGGAAAAAGATTCCTCACTTGCTTGATTAGGGACTCAGGACCAGGAGCATGTGCTTCAGGCTGGTTTTCTTTATTGTCAGACTGAGAAAAGGTCATTTTCTGACAGGTTCTACAAACAAATGTATGGCTATTTAAGGAAATTACCTTCTCACACATTACAGACCTCATTGATCTGACAGCTGTATTATCAGGTCTTTTCCACAAGTCTAGAGTATGGTATCGGCTAACAATTATAGACTTGGTAATTTCTAGGCCGCAGCAAAGTTGAATCTTGTCAACAATGGAAAAAACTACTTTTATACCCTTTTCACTTGCATGAAATGTTCCATCAATATATGCTTTGGATAAATTGACTTTTTTCCCTGCAATTTCAAGTTCCCACATGCCATTCATATGTAAAGTTATTGATTTTGTTACACCATTACCATTACTTAAGTAGCCACTTTGTGTTTCACAAATAATCTCTTCAGGGCTTATCTTCTTTATATAATAATTGTCTGGTAGACATTTAGTAATACATGTAGTTGTGCATCTTAAATCAGATACAGAACATGTATCAATAGGGTATTGAGCCAGGTATTGAAGAGCCTTTTCCAGATTCTAGACATTCAAACTTGAAAGTGTCCAAGAGCATATTTATGTCTACTTCTCCATCTGGGACAGGTGTCAGTCTTGACAGAATCCTATCAAATAATGGAGTAAAAAATTAGATGTTGATTTTTTTTATACACCATAACAAAATACAGTTGAACCTGTGATAGCGTTCATTTGAATTAAACAAAATTATATGGGAATACATGTAGTAACATTAAGTTTTGCATTTCTGTATTTCAAATTGTTATGTATAGTAGCAATTTTAAAGGCCCATCATGCTCCAGAAATGCTTTTTTTAATTCTCACAAAGTTTTTCATTTCTTGCGTCCTATTATAGTTTATAAAATGTCATTCATTGGCCAATATGCATATAAATCAAAATACTACTTTATTTAAATGTAAATACTTTTATGACAATATGGGTGATAAGGCTGCTCAAAAACCATTAATATCAATCTTATGAAACACCTGATTTCTCTTTCTATATATTTAGTAAAAACTCTTTCATTTCCAAAGCATTATGTGCCTTTAAACTTTTTTTTAATGAATGTAGGAATTGACCCACAGATTAACTTCATCAACTGCATTACACAGGTTTAACTGTATGACCATGTTTAAAGTGGAGAAAAATTGTTTATATCAAAAATAGCATACCCTGTAAAGTAACTATAAGAAATACATTAGAAATTCATATTTTTTTCCTATCTGAATTCAGTATAAATGGTTGTACATTGTAGTTTAACTGGATTTAAACCAGTTTGTAAATAATTTCTATATTGTCATACATTTATATATTAACAATCTTCATCTGAAAAGAGCATTTTATATTCCTGAAACCCTTATTTATTCAGAAGACATAAATAAAATTGAAGTTTTAAAAAATTTATACATGTATATTTGTCATATTTTAGTTAAGCATGTCACAATATGAAATAACTTTCACCTGTATAAAATATAGCTATACACAACATGCCTCCATATGTTTCATGCAAATACAGTGCATTTTTAACTTAAGATATGATATGGTAGATGTTATTTCCTTAGCTATTCGCCAAAAGTTATTTTCTTTAAAGGCACATTATGCTGTAGAAATGCTTTTCATTTTAAGAATTTTTTTGTGTGTGTAATATTAGGTCCAAAAAATAACTAACATTTTCTTTTGCTGTTTTGAACCACCTTTTTCT